TTCTCTGCCGTTCCCCTTTTGATAATATCTCAGTTTTGTATTCTAGTTTTCCCATTTTGCGACTGCTTTTCAGCGTCAATCATTGCAGATTTTTTTTTCGTATCAAAAGGACGCTTGTCACTCTAAAAGGATTTCAGATCGAAGTCGATGTTCAAGTGCAGTATTGCAAACCGGTTTTCAGAGTAACAGTACTTGTGTTTGTCAAATTTTATTACCATTGCTGAATTTCTAGAAATGGCAAAGCATCTGTATATTGATAGGTATGGGTGAAAAAGTCGCAATATTATGAAAAACTTAGTATTTTAATTGAACGTTATGCAGCCGCGTTACCGATGGTTTTTCTTACAAAAAAAGAGTTTTGGCAAACTTCTTGCGACATTTTTTTTCATGCGATGCTATCTTGGAGACCAATGGTCCCTATGATTTGCATCGTCATCGTCAGCATACGGACTACACGTAATCCTCTTTGTTGTACGAGTTACCTAAAAACCAATGGAATGAATACGGTGACACATTGAAACGTTCAGTCGATCAATAAATGAAGTACATTAGCTTAGTTTATGCAAACATTGGAATGAAGAGCAAAGTGATTGATCCGAAAGGTTCATGGACAAACTCCCCCACTTCCTACTGTAAGGAACCCATTTCTACAAGAGTCCACCGCGATCCCGTTGTAAATGGGCAAAAAAGGATGTTCTCCATTAGCAGTCCTCACGATTCGATTTCTTACTCCCCATCTGCACGAACTGAAAAAGGTTTAACGCCCCAAAAAGTGCTCGCCTCCTTTGAATTTCGATGTTGCTTGTCTAATTGCAATGGTCACACAAGAAGGTCTCGTAAGTCGGCGGCGATTAAGAGACGAAAATCGCCTTGGTTAATGGAGGTTGACAAGCGCGAACACCCCATGGAAATGGAGAGAAATTGGTTCAGAATAGATCACATTCCTCACTGATAATCATATGAATAAGAAATTGTTCAGGAAGAGTACTCAAGATGGTGACGGAGATGGGCTCCGCCACCATCGGTGGCATCTCACCGGCATTGTCAGCGAATGCCGCTAAATCATTCTTGGAAGCCACCGATAAGGAAAAGAAGGAATTGCAGGTGTGAAGGAACTTAGGAAAGGAGGGTTATGAACAAGTGCTTACGTAAATCATTCAGGGATTGAACGATCGCCTTGGCAACTACATCGATCGAGTAAAGCGCTTGGAAGAGCAGAACAGAAAGCTCGTTGCAGATCTTGATGAGCTCCGTGGCAAATGGGGAAAGGACACTTCTGAGATCAAGGTGGGTGCTGGATCTGTGTTATTTTACATCG